CTTCTCAAGGTTCTTAAAACATTTTCCTGTTTTCCTCCCACGGTAACTTGTTTTTAAACCCTAAAGGTTTGCAGATTCTGCAGGCTTCTTAAGCAGTTATAGACTCTTTGGCAAGACTGTATCTCTGTTCTCCCTTGCAGCAAAATTAAGAAATGACAAATGAGAAAGAGGAACACCGTTCTCAATCTCATAATATAAGACTTAGAGAATTGTTTTTCAGATAACACCCTCCTTCATTGTCCTGCGCCTCAAGGGGCTCCAGGCAGCCAGCTCTGTGGAGCCAGAGATCGGGGGCGGCTGTGAAATCAGGATTCCCACTGCTCACAGGGTTTCTGCTGACACTGCGGAAAAAACTTGTAATTGAATTTAGTTCTAGAGCAGCTTTAGGATGAGCATCACTTCTGCTTCTTAAACACCTACAAAAACTGGAGCAGGTTTGAATGAAGGTTCTGATCCTAACTGTTGAAAGTGCAGGCTGACTTTCTAAAACTGATTCTGAGGTATTTTACTTGTTTTAAAGGTTTTGGCTAATATTTGCAATATCCCTCATAAATATATTGTAACCAGAGTCATAGCTGAACCCCTTATCAGTAGAGCTGCATTGTTCTCAGAGGGATTGCTTTGTTTCCTTTAATGACTTTGTTTTCTGTGTTTTGAGCCGTTGGTCTCTTGCTCCTCAGTGTGTTTAATAACAATCTGTCTTTACCTGTGAGTGGCTCCATATAGTCAGCATTGGGAATCTAGAGGTTATTGTGAATTATTTTAAGATTCTGTCATCCAACCCACCTTAATGAGATGTTTGTATATTACCAGGCCGGTGTTAAACCTATTATCTTGCTGAGTCATTCCTTCATTTGAATCAGGGAAGGTCAGCGACCTTTAAGGGCTAGAGCTGAACCTCTCTTCTATAGGATCTAAACTCTTGTCTGGTTTTTGTATTCATGCCTATTAGGTACCATGACCCTAACCCTTCTCCTACAGCTGAGTAACCTTAGAATGATGGGTTCCCAGTCGGCCGCTCATGCTGAGCCTGGTTCTGCTGGAGGTTTCTTCCTGTTAAAAGGGAGTTTTTCCTCCCCACTGTTGCTACAAGCATGCTTAGTGTGAGTGATTGCATCCAAGTCAATGAGTCGATGCAATCAACTGGTTTTCCTTAGAAAACTTTGAATCAATTTGACTGAATGATCTGGTGAACTGTAAGGTGCCTTGAGATGACATATGTTGTGAATTGGTGCTATATAATCAAACTGAATTTCTTTTCAACACATTTAATCTAATAAAAATGCCTATAAGTTCATTAAAATCAGTTTGTTTTATTTTAAGCTGTGTGCTCCTAGATTATAGAGATGAATCCATTAGGGTATTCATGTCAAAATGAGGGCATGAAAACACCTCACGCTTCATATGCAACCTTCATGGTCCCTTTCTGCCCTCTGACTCATCAGCTATAACAAGGCTGCCAGTCCAACGTGTCCGCCCGCCGTCCATCTGATGTTCATAAGGCTTCTCCCTCCTAACTGAAAGGCAGCACTGTAGATGAGGATCAAACTGTGGTCATGGTAATAAAGTTTAGCAGATAATGAGATTGCAGTTGGAGCGTCCTCCCACCCTGCCTTTGAACGTACAGTAACCTCGTTAAAGCACCAACCAATGTCACCAAATCCCTGCAAGCTATAAGTTCACACGAGGTAACACCAAACTCTGCAGCAGTAGACCAGACTATTGAGGATCTTCTTTCAACTTGAAATGTTTTAACCAATGTGAACTGGAGCTATTATTCTCTGTATTATATTACAGCTGTGCTGCTGCCATCAACACCTTTGTTTCTAGATGTTGGAGATCGGCCTGTTTTGCAGTGTAGTCCTGTTTCTCTGACTGTGACTAACTGGATGAGCTCTCTTCATGCTTTGACATGGGAATTGTCTCAGAGCTCGTCTGCCTGGCTGTGTGTTTCCTGGACAGGGCCGCCTTTTACTGTTGCTTTTTGTATTTCTGCTTCTGTCTCCTTGAACCCCAGTCGGCCTCAGCAGATGGCCACTCACACTGAGCCTGGTGCTGCTGGAGGTTTCTTCCTGTTAAAAGGGAGTTTTTCCTCTCCACTGTCACTACAAGCATGTTTAGTGTGACGGATTGCATTTGAGTCAATGAGTCGATGCAATCACATGGTTTTCCTTACATAGAAAACTTTGAAACAATTTGACTGCATGATCTGGTGAACTGTAAAGTGCCTTGAGATGACGTGTTGTGAATTGGCGCTATATAAATAAACTGAATTAAATTCAAACCTAAAAATTTCTCTTTTTTTTTTAAAGAAAAGCACAGGGATTTAAAACTTTGGGTGTTGGGTGTGTGCTTCTATTCATAGTGATTTAAATAAATTCAGTCTGTGGTCCACATGTGAGTAAATTTAAGATCAGAATAAAAGTTTACAAACCAGATGAAAAACAGATAATTTCATCATTTATATGTGAAAAGCCTATTTGACAGAACCAGCAGAAATATGGGATCCATATGGATTTGGTTCAGGCTGAATAACAAAGATGGCCTTGGGTCATAATGGGGTTTAGTTTTGATAGGGAATTCAGTGAAACACTTTGGAAGCTATGAGTGTTATTACTTTGGTAGCATTTAAAAAATATGCACAAGGCAAAAATAAAGGTCAGTGCAATAATAAAAAGGTCCCTTTCCCAAAGATGTGAAAAAAAAGTGATTTGTTTTTGCACCACCGACGTGGTTAAAAAGTTTTAAAATCCTTCTAAAACTTTTTGTTAATGTTATGCTGCATTTGCACGGAACCTTTCCATATCAATACTTTTCCCCCATTATTTTTAAAACGGGTTTCCTTTTCTCCTACACTGCTTGCATGCTGATCATTGCTGCACTTTATGTTCATTTCACTGGTGTAAGCTTTAAGCAATGCAATTTCGTTTTGTATATTCTGAGTATACAAAACGATAAAGTTTGTCCAAGTCCTTCCGTCTCTCATCCCCTTTCTCACCTCCCTTTCCGTCTCTGTTGGATGCGATTTTAGCCCCCTGATCATTTTCTATCAAGTTTAATATTCAAGTATCAACCAGAACCTTATAACAGTTCTAATTATCTGCTTGTGACAGAAAAGCTGTTGGGCTATCAGCTAGCTCAGGGGCATCTATTGGCTAAACAGAACAGAAAACCAAATTCTCAAAAAGACATTGTTCCCAACTAGCCTGTTTTATTAGTCAGTGGAGTTTAATGCAAAACCTTTTTTGAGATCTTCTCGGGTCATGGAAGACTTAAGATTCAGTCAGTTTCTGCTCATCTAAAGTTTCCATGGAAAGATTTTTTTTTAAACTGCAGCTCGTTGGAAAAAACTCTTATGATCAACTGGATGGTTTTGGCTGCCTGCTGCTTTCCTTCTGATATGTTTTCTAAAATACATGATTCCCTTTGCTTGACCGCTTTCAACTTAGATGCGTATGTTTTAGGACTGCAACTTACAATTATTTTGCAAATCATTTAATCTGTCAGTTATTTTTTTGGATTAATAGCCAAAGTTTCCTTTAAGGAGATTTTTTTATGAAATCAAATCAGGTGAAAGTAAAAATTTTGCATCTTAAGGAGGCTGAATATAACATATTGACAGATCTTTTTTATCTTAAATGCAAAACGTTTCGATTTCTTTGCAGTTCTGGTATAATTATAGCTCTAAGTGGGTTGCTCTGTCAGCTAAATGCATGTTAAGAGCAGTTAATCGATGACTGAATTAGTTTTAATTTTAATAATTGACTGGTCACCATTAATCAGATTGTTTCACTAAAATGCTCGCACAGCTGAAGGCAAAAATAGAAGAAAATGAAAAGAAACAAATGACACATGCTGGTCGAAACACTTAATGCCCTGGATTTTTATTTCATTTTGTGACATTTCAGGATTTCTTTTTTGTGTGTGTGTGTGGGGGGGTGGTTGGGTCTACAAAAACAAACAGAAAACAAAGAGTCATGAATCAAACTGGGCCACTGGAATGGGCATTGGGATTGTGGTACAGACAAAGAAAAACTACAAGTAGCCTTGTTCAGTACCAAACTCTTCACAGAAGAGAGCACTTTTTTTTTTAATATAAGTTTTTATTTTTCCCCAAATGAAGGCACCCGATAGCATGTGGTTCATGGCCTTTCAGCCTTCAGGATCACTTTTTTTTTTTTTTTAAAGTAGAGAAAACGTCTAATTTCTTTTTTTTTTTTCAATTCTTACACGTTTGTTATTACATAGAGGCTGGAATGATAAATGTCAGTTACTGCATTTTTTTACTCCCTTACATATATATATTTTTAGAGCAACAAGTAACAAAAGAATGAAGTCTTCCATGAGCAATTTTAAAATTAAAAAAAAGGAGGGGGGGGGCGATACAAAAATATTTATTTAAAAAAAAAAATTGAGATGTGGAGGAAACAGAAAAAAATGAGGCCGTCCAGTGGAACCCAAACGGCAAAGAAAAATCATACAAAAGCAGCATCAGTCAATTATAGAAAACAAATCATATAGTGCTTAGATACGTCAGAAGCAGCAAAGTCTTCTGGGAAAGTCTTCATCCCAATTGTTTTGTTACTTGTCTCAGGAATAAAAAGGTATGGAAGAGCTTAGTTGAGACTGAAAGTGATGCCAAACAAACCCCCTCATCTACCGGCCTGCGTCTCCATGGATTCAACACCACTGATGTGGAAGGATGTCAAACCAAAACCATGTTTAAAAATAGCTCTAGAAACATTGCTAAACACCGACTACAGCATGGGGCACCGGTGGGAGGTACAGTGTATTTAAAAATTTAACAAAAAAAAATAAAAATGACATGAACTGGAAAATAAAAAAAGAAAAACTTTGTAAACACGGCACAATAAATAGATCCAACAGCAGGTTCTGCACCATGCATGTGAAGACACACTTTTCTGTGGTACAACTTTCACTCATCGTATTTTGAACCAGTTGCAGTTTGTTGTTTTCTCTTTTAACTTTTTTTTTTTAACTTTATATCTCGAGTGCAAAACATCACAAATGAACAATTCTGTATTCAAGTAATGTTATATACAAGAGCGGGGTGGAGGGGGGGCGGGATATTACAAATATGCAGTACTGTACATATAATTGCCATATTAAGAATTTACAGACGATCTCTTATTAACAGTAACAAACAGGGAAATATGGGCGGGGCGGGGAGAAGAAAGAAAAAATTTTGTACGAGACTAGCATTGCAATTAAGTCCCAAAACGGTCGCCATGGAAACCCAACCTTGCCGTGCTCATTCAGCCACCGCTTGCATTCACGACTACCAAATGATGCATAGCACCCAAAAAAAAAATTAAAAAAACAGAAGAAAATGATGGGTCACGTTTCCCTCGCAGCCGTTAGCCCGAGGCTACGTGACCTCCATGGCCACTGTGTTCTCTGACAGACTGTTCAGTGCTGGCTTGTCTTGTTCCAGATTCTCCCTGCAATGAGACAAACACAGGCAGAAAAACAGTTAGTTCAACGTCTGAATTGGTTACACAATTGGATAAAATGAAAGCTGGATGTTAGCTCTGGGGGGGGAAACAAAGGCAAGTACAGAGACAATAACTTTAAAAATGTCCTCTGCTTTACTGAATTATTCTGCTGCTTTAAACCCTCAAGAAAGTCCCAATACCTCCTGATACAGATGGTCCTCAGTATTTTTTTCAGATTCTCACACATTTTGACTAAAGTGACCTAAACTGTTTTTTTTTTTTTTTGACAAACTTGCTGCAGTAGAGTAGATCATATTTCCTGCAGAACTAATTTGTACATTTTCCAAAGGTATGGCGCCCAACCTATTATCTGATTGGTCAGATTTAAATTGGGTGTGGCTACCACAGATAAATACTGCAGTGGGAGTATAGTTCTTGTTCCTAGGAAGTAGGGAAAGGATACATTTCTCTGTTGTAGCAGAGTGTGCAGGTCCCGATTTTAAAATGAGAGAAAATGTATTTAAGTTACACCAAGTTCAGTGGAAGACCATAAGAACGATTCAGCATTTTGAAGGATGACAGTCTGAAAAGTTCAAAACTCATCCGCACTCATGGATGTTGAATAGAAGCACTTGGCTGCTTTCCCTCAACACTGCGGGTGTTGGGGGAAATGTCTTTTCACTAAACTTGGATTCAAAACCGCTATGAATTCTGAGAGATGTGGGCAGGGTAAAGGACTGGCTCTGATGGCGATTTTTTTGTTTCATTTGGCAAAACGTTTGTTTGATTTGTGTTTATCTGACTGTGTTATTATTCCCCCACTAAATGAAAAAAGTCAGAATTTATTATTATCTAGAGACTATTAATAACAGGAGGTGAACTGCAGCTGTAGACTAGTTGAGCGTGTGGTGACGTCATCAGTACGCTTCAGTTCCAATTGACCCATATTGATGCTGCTTGCTCCTGTTCTTCCAAGTCCAGGCTTTCCTGTGTTCTTCTCCAGAACATACTTGGCGAGGACACGAGTCCTTAAGAAACAGCCTTAGTCTTTCAACCGAGCCCAGCAGAGTTGGTGGTAGGACCAAACTCTTTATCAAAGTCAAAATTGACCTTTAAGCAGGCAGATAAATGAAACCCCATTAACTGGATTTCTCTTTGGGTTTAATAAAGTGTTATTGGACTGAATTGGAATCGCTAATCCTTGATAGATTAATATAAAAGGCTTATATTGTGATACATTTTTCAACCATATTGCACAGCTTTTCTCCTAAACAGCCGTTAGTGATAAGTTAGACGCTTCAGTTGTTCTATTCTGTTGGGTAAACTTCTGCTTCTGCTATTGACTCATAAAAGAAACGGATGCCATGAATAAATGAGGACCAACAACAGGTCAGAAGGTGTAGTCAGGGACTTATACAGGCTAGGGAAAATGTCTGGAGGACAGGAGATATGATACCAAGGTTTTACAAACTTTTACAGATTCTGGATTATCAGATCCACACTCAGTACTTGTCATTTTTGCTCTTTGTGTGAACAGCACTGAAACCTCAAAGCAAATTCAGGAGAATAGGCTACAGGCTTATAAATGCATTAGCGCTGAAGTACTGAGGCGTCAGGCTGCTCATCAAATGGTGTTTTAGTTGATAAGGGTCAGATAAAAATGGCTATTTTAAAGATATTTTGAGTATATAATTTCTCCTTGGATACTCACCCGGGCACCATGTCCAGCGGAGAGGTGGAGGCTGTGGCCACCTTTTGTTTCTGACAGTTGGCGGTTGCTGGGTGGGCGAGCTTTAAGGCGGATGTCGGCATGGTGGCGCTCAGCGTCCGGGGGGCGTGGACGCGTTTACTGGCGGGGATTCCTAGACGGAGGCTGTTGTTGTTTCCAAGCAGGACCTGAGTGGCGGTGTTGGTGCTAGTGGTGTTGGCGGGATGGGCGGTGCCGTTGTTACTGGTGGCCGAGCTGAGCGTGGTGGAGCAGGGGTGGAGCTGGGCGGACGTCGGGGTCGAGGTTGGAGCCGGGGCGGCGGGGGACGGGGACGCTGTGCTAGAGAGCGGCAAGCCCTTATAGACACCTGGGAGGAGGGTAGAGGGGCGGCAGAGGAAACAAGATGATCATTTAAGGGAAAAACAAAAATATAGTTTCAACTCTTCCAATTATTTCCAATGAACCAGAGGAAGCAGATAAATATCTCATGTTTAAATCTTTTCTTTTTAAATTTCCATAGCCTTAATACATCACAGCATATACCTAAATTTAACTTAATTATTTTATTTATTTATTTATTTTTAATTATTTTTTTCCAGGTCAGATCAGCCGATCTGTTTTAAATCCCCCTCATTCCTGTGCTCAAAAACATTTGAAAACAACCACTATAATGGGGCTGTGTCTGAACGCCCTGACCCCTAAAATGATTGCGGTTCCACCATTTTATGAGTGGAAGAATATCTAGTGGCTGAAAAAGTAGTAGATTTATAATTTCCCACAATGCACCTTGAAAAGTAGCTTAGATCCAAGGTCAGCAGAAGAGCAGAAATATCCCAGAATGCTTTGGAAGAGCTTTCCTTGCAAAGCACCATGGGATTTGTTTTGGGGGAGAGGGAGAAAAAGATAGGGCAGGCAGCGTGGGGGGAGCTGGAGTCATGTGACAAATGGTGAACGAGGTAGTGATCAACTGTTTGAACTCAGATAACACAGTTGATTATAAAGTCTGCCATGTAGTCCCAGCTCTATGGAGTGATTGAAGGATTTATGGTGGACGTTCAGACAGAGCTTAGGATTTCTTTGTTTTCCTTCCTGGTGTTTAAATCTCTTAAAATGTCTGTTTATTGTAGTTTTGTTGTAGTTTTGTTTATTTTATAGTCTTGAAAATCCAATTGTTTCTTTTTTCTAAATCCACCAGTCTGAATACATGTGATGTTAGGTATGGTGAGGTAACATCACACCTTCAAAAGATTTCTTTGTAGTTCAAAACAAATGTAAGTGTTCAAGTGGTGAACAGAGTTGCTTAAGAAAGGATGACTCTTTTTAAAGCCAGGAACACGTCATTCTAGTGGTTTCTGTTCTCATCTTATGATAGAAAAATTTGACCATTTATTCACTGATATTAGACCCACTTCTGCCGTTTAACTTTAATTAAAACATGTTGGGTTTTTGTTTATAAGCAACTATATCAAATCTTTGCGTTTCAGACTGAGCTAATTGTTAAAGACAGAAACTTATTCTCATCATGTCTCCATTAGTTTCCCTTCTTACTCTAAACCTCAAGGCTGACTGAGGGCAGCAGACGTACCTGAGGAGAGGATGCCATTGACTCCGCCTCCAGGGGCCAGTTCGTCCTTCGTTTTCAGAACCAGCAGTTGTTCGGCGGTAACGAGGGCTGAGGCGGCGAACTGAGCACTGGCCTGGTCCAACGTGTTGGCCATGCTCTGTTAGAGGCGTAGGGAGTTAGTGATTAGAGGAGCGGTTAAACTCAGCAGGCAGGCGGCTGAATGTGGGTGGAGACTAACCTGGCTGCTGTTGGCAGTGCTGTTGGCTTGGTGTTGCTGCTGGACCTGCTCCAGCTGCTGTTTGTGCATCAGAGACAGCTGCTCCTGATGCTGCTGGTACTGTTCTGCTGTGAAAGCTGGGAGAAAGAGGAGATGTTTTAGTCATCTGGAGAAAAAGCTCTTTACACCACAAAGGATTACTAAAACACTTTCCAGATCTCAACTGAACTCGACATTTAAAAAATACTGAATAATTATCAATTTGTAGACTCAAAAAACACGGAAGCCCCATGAAAAGATCAATAATCTCTGCAACCTTAAAGGTCTGGTTATCCTCCCACAGCAGTGTGTCGCAGTGAGCTTGTCGCAGATATGTTTGATTTATACCCAATATTGAAGCGTGGTCTGCGCTATGTTATTCCACGCCACAACGCATGAGGAACAATCAGGAACTAGCTGTGGGTCTAGATGCGGCTGATGCGGTGACGAAGTGGGGGCAAGTTTGTACGCCAGCACAGGGACATGAGGGCGAAAAAGAGCGGGGATCCAGGTGGAAAAAGGGTCCCAGCGTTCTCGCGCACCTCACTCGTCCATCTTCAAGAGTCGTTTTCCACAATGGCGGTCATACAAACAAAGCAAGCAGGTAAGGTACCAAACAGGAAATATGCATAGTGTAAAGCGGATGTAAATTTGACCAATCAGAGGCCTCCTGTCTGCGGTCACCTACAATTATGGAGCGGTGTACTAGAGTGTCTGCAGGCAGATGACCTGGTTTCTGAGTATAAATCAGCCTTAAGATGACGACGACCTTCCCTTAAAGATCTGAACACAGTCTAAGGTAGATGCTGCAACAGTTCAAGTCAAAGATTTTCATCACAGGTTTTTACAATCTGTGGTTAAGTTATCAGATAGTTGAAGAAAAACAAGGCATTCAACTATTTACAATAGACATAAGGAACAGAGGCTGTACCAACTGCTGAAGCTACATCTCAAATTACAACAATTAAAAGCAAATCACTTTAAATCCACTTTCAGTTTGATACTCAAACAACTGGAAAACAAAGGAAACTAGTTTGGAGCAGAATAATCAAAGAGTCCTAACAACCAAGAGTCAATGATCTAATGCGCAACAGTCAGCAAACATCACATCAATCACAATAACAAACTGGAAAAGCACTCCGAGCCCAGACCTCCCTCAAGCAGCAAATATCAACCCTAAATGTGAATTACTCCTACAGCTAAAAACTTACACATGATCTGGATTATTACCAAATTTAAATGAATTGTTTTTCGGCATGAGTCAATCAATTCACAACTGATCTTAAAGACAAGTCAACGATCCCTTTCACGTTTTTTGTGTTAATTAAAATACCTCCCGACTTTTTCAGTCTGATGCTGAAGCTGTCAACACTCACTGCTGCCACCCACTGGTTTAGTGGGGAACTGCTGGTTCCACCAAATATCCCCATCTCACGATGTTAGAGAATCTTTGATTATGATCTGGATCGTCACAAACATTTAATGGATTGTTCCTTGGAATGAGGAGCACCTCTAATAAAAGTGTCATTAAAATCCGCCCATAAATTTTTAAAGCTAGCCTTAAAACAGAAAGGCACAAACTTTCCTAAAAACAAAACCATGTTTTAATCAATCATACCTGATCAACACCTGAACCCGCAAAAAATTAGGTGAGCAACTAAAGATTATTTTGCAATTCCATTACTCTTTTTATTTTTTCAATTATTAATCGGATAGCAAAAGTTTCTTAAAGAAGACTTTTTGCAAAATTAAACCAGGTGAAAAACTTTTTCCACTTGAGTTCTGGATGGATCATATTGTCAGATAAAAGATCTTCATCTTAAATGTAAAAATCTAAAACTTTTTACAATATTTGCATAATTACTGCTCAAAGTGGGTAGCTCTGTCCACTATAGGCATGTTTTAGAGTCTCTATACTCCATTTAACAATTAATCGATTACTAAATTAGTTGACTATTTTAATAATCGATTCACCACAATTAATATGAATATGTCAGCCCTAAACATTTTTTAATTTTTTTTTTTTTTTTTTTAACAAATGCCTCTGATGAGTAGGTGTTTGCATCAATCAATCTGAACCGGTTCCAACCTTGCGATTCTCCTAGAATCTCTCAATCTTTTCCAGATGCCCCCTTCTATTTTTGCCCCCAGAAATAGAAGCTGCTGAACATCAGCGAAGAAAAAATCCACACCAGGGCTAGAACCAAATCAACAAATTACCAATCAGCTACTTGCTAGGCTAGCAACTATTTTAACACAAAGGGCGGCAGTTTTTGGTCCACAGCACTCGTGTAGTAAGGTAGGTTACCTGCGGGAATTTGTTCCTCTAAACTCATAGCGCACCTTCTGCAGAGAGAGTGGAGCCTTATTTATACTTTCTTCCTTACTTTACATCCTAACAGACACCCGCCTTGTTTTCAACATATTCTAGACAGAACAGCCAACATAAAACACCACTACTTTGGTTTCTAGTTGAATAAAAAGGAGGTGCAGTAAAGGATGCTGAGGAGATAAACCGTCAGGGTGCCGTCCTGCTGCATTGCTTTAGTTTCAGACACTCAGCTTAGCACCACACAGCAACCAGAATCAGGGGAATGAAATAATAAAAATGTCTCATATGGCATAAAGAACCTCAAGCATCAGATGCTTAAATGCAGTTATGTTTTCAAATAGAATGCTCCCTAAGAAAATATAACTCTGAGAAAAGAACATTTTTATGATATTTTTTATAGTAGTAGAAAATAAATGATAATTTATAGTAACGTTCACATAAAGTTAGATGTATAAGAAATAAAATGTAATTCAGAATTTCTTTTGGCATTAACATGTAAACTTTTATAATTCTCTCTCTTAAAATAATCTAAATTAACCGTAATTGTTCAAACTCAAATCAACAGAGTATTTTCCCACAAACAGTTTGTGAAAGACCCTAAAGGAATTTATAAGGAACTTAATTACATCCCAGTAGTAAGACAGGAATTATCAAGCTGCTGGTAAACAGCAGTATTTTCTTTCTGACTCTTGGTTTTCAGTGTGAATGTTCCTTCGGTGCACTGGACGGAACGTTGCCTCCAGTCTCTTGTTTTGAACTGCGTATTGATTTTAAAGTCTTGTTTCACATTTCATTAGGAGGCGTCTTCATGCTTCTCTGAAATATTGATCAACATTTTCCCTCACCAACCCTTCAGTTTTCCATTCCAAAGGATCTGAGAATCACTTTCATCTCAAAGTCAAAATGATTACAATGATAACTAGTATAAATTCCTTTTCATATTCATACAATGACCAGTTAGCTATAGTCTGATGCGTTCAGGTGCAGCTTTGCTGATAAAAGCCTGGAATACAACATCCAGACCACACCACTGAGGACGTGTAGCATTTAGTCTGTATGCTGCTCTAATAGCCTCTGTGCCAAACAACAGATCCAGCCAGTGAGATCCATGAATTTATTCAACATTTAATTGACACCTGTGGGATTGGGTGGGTTGGGGGACAAACTCTGTAACAACAGGGCCAGAAAATAACTTTCACAAAGCAACTGCATTTAGAACCAGTACTGGTTCTGCAAATAAGAACAAACAAAAAGCTCAAACGAAGCATATGTATACTCTGCAGGAAAAGAGAACCTGGACTGCAAGAACCAAATGAAATCATTCCGTTCAACTCATAACTTGTCTTTGCATGGAATGAAATGTTCTGGTTCTAGGCACCTTAAGGCAGAAATAAACTCGTCCTTTGGATTGTCATGCCGTCTCTGTGCCCCGTGTATAAACTCAGAAGTGTTGTACATGTTTATAGTAGACAGGGATGTGGGTGCAATACTCTGATCAACATTACACGAGGAAATACAAAAAAATAAAAAATAAATAAGCAGAAGAAACGGGCATCCCACTTCCAAAATGGGTGACCACAGTATCATTTAAGAATTATTAAAGAATACTAGGTGTTTATGGCAGAGAAATATACAACGGAATAAAAAAAATCCACTAAACAAAGTCCATTGGAGGGTTTTTCATTTTCTTTTTTTGGATTTAACGTGACCTGGATGACTGAGAACCTTTAACAGAATAAAAAGGTAGGTTTACTTGCTGCACAAACAGACGTGACAATGGGGAAACCGGCCCCACTGTGAAACCCATTTGGACCCACTCCTTTTTCAAATAACAGATATAAAATTATTTTACCAAATCAAACCCGAATGCATTTTATAGTATTGGTAGTTGTTTCAGACTTAATTCATTTATGATGTGGTGGAAACAAACTAAAATCCTTGTTTTTACCACAAGCTTGGCCAATAAACTCGCTCCTTTATGCCATTTTTTAGTCACAGAATAAAAAGAAACAACATTGCATTTAACCAGACTGTTCCACTTGAACCTTCTGCACCATCTGATCTCAGTGAAGGCAAATTTGTTCACGGAGAACAACTTCATATCCTCCCATTTGGAAGTGCGTGACCGAGCGCTGATGCTGCGCGCCTGGTCCACGCTGGGGGGGCGGAGACAACGAATTGCATCACTTTTGGCACGCCTCTCCTCACACCCTGTTCAATAAGTCGAGTATAAACCAAGCTACAGATTCTAGGAAAGATTTCTATTCCTCCAGAGTGTGTGTTGGCCATCTTAAAAAAGAAAGTAAAAAGTAAGCAAGCTGTGACATCCGTTTTCCCAATTTACACTTTCACCAGTCAGTTTTATAGATGCTGGGAAACATTAAGCTGCTTTTGCCTCCACAACACACAGAACTGAGAGGAAAGCATGTTTAGTTTGTGTAACACAGGACTAAGGATGAAGGTGGCCTGTAAAGGCATCATAACCCCCCTGAGCTCATCCACACCCTGCCAGTTTACAATCAAACCGTACTGTATGTGTTTTTGAGTGGTTGTTAAATCGGAGTGAACAGAAATTCAGACCCATGATTGAATTTTTGACATGGCAGCTGTTCTAAACAGAACAATAAAGAGTGATTATCAAAGGTATATGCCATTTATTTTGGCTACTTACCAGCAACAGGTGTGGGAGGAGGGACAGCCCTCGCTGGCCGCTGCAATCCAAACGGTTTCCCCCCGGTGGCGGAGAGCGGACGCTTCACGCTTCGACTAATCCTCCTGAACAGAGGGTGGGCGTTGTCCAGCTCATGTAGTGGTAGTGTCCGTGGTCTAAAGTGCCTCCAGCGGCAGGACTTTATATTAGACAGTATCTGGCTGAGGTCCGTGGAAGAAGGAGAGGAGGTCGGGGGAACGGAGGGGTTGTTGGAGGAGGTGGAACTTCTGTCTGAGGTATTCGTTTCTGAGGTGCCCGCAAATGTGTCTGGTGCCAGTGAGCGCGAAGTCGCAGAGGGAGGAGGAGGTGAAGGAGAAGCTGGTGGCGGCAGGTCCGTGGCCTCCAGGTCCAGTTGGTGGAACACGTCATCGCCGTCAGTGCACGCCCTGTCCAGCAAGACCCTGGACGACAACAAAACAAATTCAGCCATGAAACGATCTGCTACGCTGAACAAGGCACGGTGTAAACAGGAGGCTCCAACTGACCTGCCGCCTCGCCCCACACGCCGCCGTGTCATGCCCAGACATCGGCGTGGCACAGTCAGTGTAGTGAGACTGTAACGAAAGCGAGCTTCTGCCAAACCGCCTTCCCAAGGACCGCTCCACGGCCAACTACCCACCAGATCTGGACGAGCCTGGAAACACACAGAGGACTTTAAAGAAGGGCACATTTCCAACTCGTTACCTCAGGAGACCAAAACTTGCAAAAAAAAAAAAAAAACAGCTATAGGAAAAAAAATAAAATAAAATAATCTACCATTGGGAGAGTAAAAACCTTAATAACTATTGTTCCATTTGTAAAACAGTCCTGATGTTTGATATGAGTTCTAACAAGTATGGCTCTTACAGCAAAGTACTGGCAGCCAGCTTTCCTGCGAAAGGCGTAGGCTCCATCGGGGTCGTTCTCCTCCTCTGCTTCAGATGAGCCTGAGTGGAGCTGTGGACAGAAGAGGTCAGAGGTCAAGTTAGATGGATATCCACAATAATGCTTTGTCCCGACAGTATTATTAATTCATGGACATCATTGCTACAGCAGCCATCTTTGACCCACTGTCGCGAACGTTTTAGGCATCTCCATGCTTTCACACACCCAGGTTAAATAAACGGCTGATCGACTGCTAAGCAGTTTATGCAATCTTCTGATTCGGGGGGTTCTGCAAAAAGAGACTTCCAAGAGAGGCAGGACAGCGGGTTCTGAGGACAGTGGCCTCAAGGACCCATATTCTTCACTATGAAGGTTAAATATTGATCCTGACAGAACTGACAGGGACAGGCAGGAGGATGAATATGGGGATACATGGCAGACAAAATTTTAAGACAAGAAAGTTGAACAATACAACTAATCCATAACTTCTCCTTTTTTCTACAGTTTGCAAAGATATTCCCGACCTTTAAATAACCTAAATCTATTCCATAGTTCTCCTGACTTCAGTGGGAAGCCTGTAGATTACTGAAGCTAAGGCGTTAGCATGGTTTGGGGTGTCTACCTGGGAGAAGGGCTCATCGTCAGAGCTGGGAAAGTCGTACTGGTTCAGGTCTTTAGCATTGAACACAACAGGACCCGGATGGTGGGGCATTCCTGATGACAACGGCAACATCTTCGGCTTCTTTTCGTATTTCCGTTTTTGCCGCGAAGGTTCTGCCTTCTCGGGCTACAAAGAGAGCGAGATAGAGAGTAGTTAATGACGTGCCTCCACCTTCAGACAGTTTCTACGTGGCTGTCACTCAAACAGAAATCTTTTTTTGGGGGAATACACTTGTCTTGTTTCTAACGGCGGGGTCACCTTAGACTTGTAGTCCTTGGATTCCATGTGGTCCTGATGTCGGTACTGATTGGTGAGCGGGACCAGGGGAATGATCTGTGGCCTCACCAGCGCCCGCTCAGCCAGAACCTCTGCCATGATTTCTCCACCAAAGTCTGACATGGAATTTCTGGGATGAAAAAAATAAAGCATTAGACCTTCAGTTCATCTCTAAATTACATAAATGTACAGAGAAGCACAGATACGTAATTTATTCCTCTCTGGCCTCTCATAGAGTCACCCCTGACCAGAACTCACCGCTTTTCGACTATCTCCAGTGTCAGGTGCAGCAGCTCTCTCTTGCTCTTCTCCCTTCTCTTGATCATCTCCAGGATGGTGACCGCTCTGCTCAGATCCCTGCGAAGCTTCAGCATCTTCTCATAGGATGCCTCGTCGTTCTTACGGTTCTGGACAAATAAAGGATAAATATGCTTCTTAACTGAGAGTAAAAGGGGAAAAAAATAAAATCTCAACATTTAAAAACAGAACTCAAATATTTAGCCAATATGTCCATTAAATGCACTGCAGACAAAGGAAACTCCACCATCTACAAACTCAGTATATCACTCTTGATGCTAGCATTGTAAGACTCAGGTTAAGCTTTATTGCATCTAAAAAGCTGGTATTCTAGGTCTAAAATAATCTGTTCTTACATCTAACACAGAGGGATGATATTTGGAAGAATATTCAACAACAAGCTGGCGATTCGTCCCTCATAGCACATATCTAGCATCAATAATCTCACATATTAAGACGGTTTTATCCATCTCATATTTGCTGGGTTATAACCACGTCATTCATTTGCATGAAAAAGCTTTGTTTCTAATGATCAATCCTATAAATAAACCATAAGAAACACTTAGACCAACTCCTCGCCTTCTCTTGCCCACATACTTCTAAATGATCAGAATGTAGATCATAAATGGGCTTAAATAGCTAATCAGAAAGAAAATAAAAATGCCTCTAATGATCTGGCCTTTGTTGAACTAGAATAACAGCCTGATTGGTTCATTTTTAACCTTTACTGTAATAGACTGGATGAGAAAAAGCTAAAGCCGATATCGGGTTCTTCAGTCAACCTCCTGGATTGCACATAGATGCTTCATAATTAGGCCGTTCACATTAATCAGCAATCTCAATACAAGTCTATTTTATTAAATCTGTACAACATTAAAGCACACTCGGTATGTCAGAGCCCAAAAAACCTTCCACACCATTCCTTGAATGCATACTATTAGGACTATGATGGTTTAAAGTTTTATGACTGACAGTAATTTAACAACCAACATGGTTTTCCCTGCAGAGCAACAAGCTCTAAGCGTCACTGCTTCTATTTCTGGCCCTTCAGGTGAAGGTGGGGATAATTCACTCAGCCTACACACAAGCTGAAGTATGCAGAAAATGTACAACCCTCCAGACAGGATCCAGCCCATCTGTTCACAGTTCTTATGATTGACGCAGCAGGAAGCAGAGGTTCAGCAACAACAAAAATCCTGCAGCCGGGACCAAGAGCTTAGTTGTGCGCTCACATTAATCACTATAAAACAACTAAACAGCCCAGCTCAACAAGTTTTCTAAAATCCAACTTCTATCTTCTCAAACTCGCCGGATGCTGAAGAAGCATCAGTGCAGAAGGAAATGTGAGCAGACCAACCTTCCTGGTCTGCATCTTCTCCGTGCGCCGTCGGAAGGCCACGTAAGGGTCTCCGGTACTGGAGCCGTCTCGTCTCTCCTGCTTTACGGTCGGGATCAAAGAGTTGGCTTTGCTGTTTTTCCTCTTTCGGCTCCAGTAATCGAAGACCTCCTTGATGAGCTCGTCGTCCTCCTTCAGCAGCAGCTTGGCTTCAGGAAGACTCACAAGCTAAAAGGAAAAAAACAAAACAAGAGGTTTGTTTCAGATGAATCCAGTTTTAATGTGACAGAGTATCGCGTTTTCAAGTAGAGAGCAGGCGGCGCTGACCTGCTGTCCGCTGCCTTTCTCCAGCCGGTCGATCATCTCCTCAAACTGAAGGCAGCTGATCTCCATCTTCTTCTTCAGCTTGTTGACGAAGGCCTCATCGTCTGCGTCCAGGTCGTAGTCTGGTTGCTCTGTGTCCAAGCTGAAAGCTGAAAATGAGAGTCTAGATTTAATTCTACTAGAACTTTATTGAATATTAAAAACGAAATATGTTTAAAAAAAATCTCCAGAGATAAAATTTATCTGTTAAAACTAGAGCACAACAGTTTCCAAAGAGTCTTTTGCAGAACTCCAAGCACTAAAATGAAATCTTTACCTCAGCTGGTCCTAATATGTCTCTGGTTTCAAAATCCCAAACTAGTGTTTCATAATTACTTCATTAGGAGATTTAAAGCACATCTAATCAATCCTGATGTAATTGTTTTTCTGCATAGATCAGAGAATGATGCACCAACGTTCTGCCTGGTGATCGGTACTGGTTGATTTTCAGCTTCACCAGCTTTGCAGAAAGTCCAAAATCCAATTTATTTTTAATTAGAGAATGCACCATAACTAAAGGCTAATGGGCTGCGACTTAAAGTAATTTTCAGAATGAGTAAGGCTTTTAAAACAAGCGTAGGAAGCGAAAAAAGCTGGAAGAAGCCATTTAAGAGGAAACACTTGTGTTTCATCCCGGATCCAACATCATGGAACTCAGAGTTCACAAGCTAACAGGAACAGCGGACATAATGCTGTTATAAATGTGAGCTTCAATCAGTCATAGAAGATCCTGAAAATGAAAAACTATTATATTTTAGGAAATCTAAATGTTATACTCTCCTTCACTCTTACCATTAAAAACAGATGCTGTTTCTATTACTCAGCGATGCCAAGCACATTTAGTGCAAATAGCAGATACTAAAGAAGCTACACATCTTTCCTAACATCTACAGGTAAAAGCCAGTAAATTAGAATATTTTGAAAAACTTGATTTCAGTAATTGCATTCAAAAGGTGTAACTTGTACATTACATTTATTCATTGCACACACACTGATGCATTCAAATGTTTATTTCATTTAATTTTGATGATTTGAAGTGGCAACAAATGAAAATCCAAAATTCCGTGTGTCACAAAATTAGATTACTACTTAAGGCTAATACAAAAAAGTGATTTTTTAGAAATGTTGGCCAACTGAAAAGCATGAAAATGAAAAATATGAGCATGTCCAATACTCAATACTTGGTTGGAGCTCCTTTTGCCTCAATTACTGCATTAATGCGGCATGGCATGGAGTCGATGAGTTTCTGGCACTGCTCAGGTGTTATGAGAGCCCAGGTTGCTCT